CAGAGATACTTTTCAACTGTTAGCAATGACTTATATTCCTTATACATTGATAATTTACGTATTTCACAAACTTTACAATACCAGTCCTGTTGGTTACAGTCTTTTAACCTTTGAATAAATGCATTAATAAAGAGGTTCTCATTACCAACTTCCTGCGAAATCCACACGTGGCCAAATCCATAACTGAATAATAGTCTTTTGACACAAGTTACCCATGTAGTGCGATTAACTTCATCTAAAGATTTCAGCATTAAATAACATTGCTTAGGGTATCTATAACTGGGTAAAGATAACAATTTCAACCAATATTTAAATAAGGGTACTAGTGAAGGTACCCAACGTGCGTCGGGTGGCATCACCTTTGGGCAGTAACTGTACGAGAGTTCGGATTTGATCGTGCCGGTATCCACATGATACTTAATATCAAGATGATTCTGTGATAAAGACATAGTGGTCATTCTCTGTAAATAAAAGCGACAAACCCCTTTCCACCATCAAAAAGCAATCTCTGCTCAAACCATTGTACCATTCTGACAATATCATACCTCATGTTTTTATTATAGTCACTATAAAAATGATACCTTGTGTTCTGGAAATGGTTCGCAAAGCCTGCGTCACCGATTGCATCCATCGCAAATACATGCACATGCAAGTCAAGTCGCCACCTGAACAAACACGGGAACGTAATATGGCCCAAGTCAAAATAGAGAATTGCATCGGCCACCATTTTGATCTTCCACATGTCCATCTGTTAACATCGCTTACTGTTTGCTAGTAATGTTTACTATACATGGCGACAAATTAAATGACGAACACAGACACACACACATATAAACAGACAGACAGACAGACAGACAGACACACATACACACACACACACACACACACACACACACACACACACACACACACACTTTTCTTTGGGGTACACATATGTACGAAAATCCGAAATGTTTTCGTATAGATTGTTCCTTAATATGTTCACATAAGTATATGTGTATACTCAGTATAAACCTTTGAACGTGAATATTGCTTCTCGTGAGAACACTCTTAACATCATTCTGATTTCCGTTTGTTAGTCATAATATATCTTTGGGGAAGCACTTGTGAAAGCAATGTGTTCAGTGATATGATGAATTGATCATGATGCTACGACAGTGTCAGATACTGATAGTGCTTGACAAAGGAAGATGGCATTTGTCATGAGTGAGTGAGCGAGTGAGTGAGTTGGGTTTAATGCCGCTTTTAACGATATTCCAGTTATATCATGGCGTGTCAGTTTAATGTGGGAGGAAAGCCGACAAACCTGTGCTGACAAACCTAGAAACCTAATCGCAAGAATCTGAAGCTCGGTGGTAGGGTCCAACTCTGCCCAGTACTAGTACACTGGTGACTTTAGAAACAACAAGTAAGTATTAGGATAGGGTTCTACGCAGCTTTTAGCAATATTGCAGCAATATCAGCGGTGACGACGGAAATGGGTTATACCCATGTGGGGAATCGAACCCGGGACATTGCTGACGCTTTAACCACTTGGCTTCCCAGTTCCCCAATACTAATAGAGACTATTCAAAGATTAAAAGCACTGATGCTAAAGATGGCTATACATGCGCAAAATCCGACCATCCGAGTGATCCAGTAAGTGTGGGTTTCCGCCGCCTTTAATCATAATCACGCATTATCGGGCGATGGGCACCAGACATTGGCTTCACACATCATTCATTACATCCATCTGGGGATTTGATCTTGGGCTTCGGCGTGGCGAGTGAAAACTTTAACCGTTAGGCTACCCAACTGCCCAACGAGTGCTCGGAACACGACAAATGGCATCTGGGTTTGATATGAATGCCATAATACACATTCCTTAATGGTTATGGACTCGACACATCATTACTGACTTATAACTGGTGTATGTCACGCATGCAGTTATATCATATCAAGGGCTGGACATCTGCGTCCACTCTAACGTCTAGACTGTCGAATCATTAGCCAACTGTCTCGTGAAAGTCACTGCAAGACAATTCATCTTCTGAACATCAATAAATATAGTTCAAATACGAAAGATGATTGATCGTGTGAAAAAAGCAATTAAGAAAAACGCTTTGTACAACTAATTGAAACTGACACTTGGTAGAAGATGAAGGTAATTATCAAGACCTTGCCCCAAGATAGGTAGACACAGGGGATGCAATCGCAAGCCAACTAACAGAAGGCAAAAACTAATTGTTGAAAACTGAACGTGTTGAAGATAAATGGAACTCGAAGATGTGCAAATAGCAGGTTTGAGTTGCCTTTTAGCGCTGAAAACTTCCTTTTTTTTGTTTTTACTTGCGGTTTTGTCAGAAATGATGAACACAGCCTATTACATACCTAATTAGAGTTGTATTATCAGTAATAACAGAAGCATTTATGCTGTGCTTTGCTCGTGTTGAATACCCGATAGCGTTCTTAGCAGATGAGTAATTTTTACAATTTCAATGTCTCGTGGGCAGGAGTGATAATATTGTTTTTGTGGGATCTGCAACATTCGTTTCTTTAATATTCCCAATAAGTTTGTCAACCGGAAGTTGTATCTCAGTCACCAGGATGTAGTTGCCATTGTATTTATGGCATTGACGTATATCATGAACGTTAATTGTTTGGCAGTATAAATAAAAAACAAGTAGAAACTTTTCTGTCCGGCGTTGACCGATCATTAAATATAAGTAGATTTTATCTACATCTTAAATGCATTATCATGTGATCATTAGTGTGTACATAAAATGAAGGGATATATGAACCGGTGTCTGTAGTGGGTTTCTTTCGATAGTACTTTAATATTTGAGTACCCGAAGTTGTAGAAAACGACATCTTATTTTATTGTAATATTGTAACCAAATATTTTATTGTAATAAATATATGATAGCAACATGTCACAACACAGATGCTTACATTGTAGAGAGGTAGGTTCAAGGCGTTTTGGGGTTATTGTAGAACTATATCCTGGAGTACACCTACACCTGCATACACCAGCATTGAATCACAGTCTAACGGTTAAGGGGCGGTTGGGTAGCCTAGTGGTTAAAGCGTTCGTTCGTCACGCAGAAGGCTCGGGTTAGATTCCCTAAATGGGTACAATGTATGAAGCCAATTTCCGGTTTCCAGCGCCATGATATTGCTAGAATATTACTAAAAGCGGCGTAAAACCATATTCACTCACTCACTGTAACGGTTCGGTGGTGTCATAATACACTTCTCGAACAGCTGTGTGATAAATATATTGATTCATGGAAATCTCTGTATACATGTATGTACAATTTCCGCCCCTCTTTCAGTAGTTTTCCAATCGACCTTTACAGTTAGACAGGAGGTGATGCGGGCATGCTTTTGATAACCACAAGCTGTTGTTGGGCTTATCAATATATCATTCTAACAATCACCGACACATTTTGCTGCATAAATGATTTAGCTTTTATGGGATGACTGAAGTCATCAAGGCTGCTACTTTAACAATTAACTCAGTACTGAAGGTATTGATCATACCAATACATTATTCCATGCAAAACGAATGAATTAAACCTCTGTGTCCTACAGAGCAGAAGGCTAAGAAAGATTGTTAAGTATGAAATATTGTTTCAAACATTACAAAGTTAGAGTGACCGAGTGAGTTAAAATTTAAAGTCACATCGGCAATATTTCAGCCATATCGTGACTTTCAAAGGTTATATATATAATAAATACATGCAAACTATAAAAACCAGTCAATAACGGACAGTAAAATAACTAGACTTATCACAGATTATGATTTAAAACCAGCATGGAAATATAAAATTACATCACTAGACACAACAATTATACATTATACAAAAGTGCTTCAGATCGCCAGCAACTGAAGGTAGATCACTACACCAGGGACCATGGGGACTTAAAGTACTTAAGCTTCTTGCATGAACCCTAGCAGGATTTACATCATGCCTTCAGGTGTTGGCGATTATTGTCAATTTAGCCGAATTAAAAGAACATATATTCTGCGATTAAAACCGTGGCAGTAATACATATACTGTGACTGACGTGGACTTAAGTACCATCTCCGGGGGACATACAAAATTAGATACTTATATGTCACATGATATATTTTATAGACAACAAATCTCAATAACTCTTAATATCAATCGTGCACACATCCATAAAAATGACATTAAAATAATATCAATTAACTCTATTTCAGTTTCATAATTAACGACCACAGAGAATCGGCGGATTCTACCTTACGAAGTATGACTCGACTACACAGGAAAAACTTTAAAGACATATTGTCGTGTGTTTCATTTAAAAAATGAATATGCAACGAGTAAATCATAACGGTGACGCCCTAAGGAAATGAATCTGGCATTATTTAGCTGAATCATAAATACATTTCCGAATTACGTTTCTTTTGATGGAAATGGATACTGAAACTGAATGCATTGAATCCTTTTTGCAGGGCAAAACTGTGTATATTCTAGGTATACCATGTACCCCAGTAACTAGGATATAATTATGGTAATACTGATTATAATGACAAGAGGATTAATATTGCGCTAACTTCAGACAAGCAGTGTTTGTACATATGATTATTAATATTGCGCTAACTTCTCTATATAGAACACATTGTAACACGTATACATAAGCTACGAAACAATGGAGGTGTTTTGCAAAAGAGAGAGAGAGAGAGAGAGAGAGAGAGAGAGAGAGAGAGAGAGAGAAAGACAGAAAGAAAGAAAGAGAGAGAGAGAGAGGGAGAGAGCGAGAGCGAGAGCGAGAGAGAGAGAGAGAGAGAGAGAGAGAGAGAGAGAGAGAGAGAGAGAGAGAGAGAAACCAGTGAGTGATATCATGATCCGATGCGCTTAATCTCCTCTTACGACAGGTCACCGGCGACCTATAGATTCTATAATCCCCATCCTCATCACATCCCCATCCGGATTCAATGCTATATGCAAACAACACGTGGAGTTAAAGTTTCGTAAGATTCCTACACTTACCTAGAAGAAGCGTGAGCATATCCGACACAGCCAGGCTGAACAGGTAGTAGTTTGTGGCCGAGTGGAGATAGGAGTTCTTTGTGATGACGATGCATGTGGACATATTCCCAATCACCCCTGTCAGGAAGATCACACTGTATACGATAGTGAGCGTTATCACAGATGCCAAATCCTTTCGTCTTTCGCCAAAGCTCTCCACCAAGAACTCCTCCACGTCAAAGGTGCTCGTGTTTGTCCACACATCCCCACTTGCAGCACCCGGTGATACTTTCGTGGAGTCGTTTATCAGTACAGTTGCTACAATGTGGAACCTGGACCCGTTGATTACATAATTTGAGACCATTTCAAAGCAGGTGTCGTTCACAGATTCACTTTCAAAAACAGTATAACCTTTGAATTATTAACCATTGGTTGACAAATACCATAAATACCCACAATTGGCTATTCGCATCGCGTGTTGTTTAACGATTGTCATGTTTTGGTTTGTTTTCCAGAGAGACATCCACACAAAAACCATCATAAGAACCCATCAGGAGCTTTCAACTCTTGAACGATAATCCATTTAACTTTGTGTGGGAAGCTATTTTCTCTTTTGCAAGTCCTATCCATCTTTTCACCCCATCCACTCGTACATCAGTCCCTTGTTTGAGAACTTGTGTATCATGCATACAGCAAATCAAAGCTTCTGTGATTGCTCTGACAGACTTCAGCTGCAACACCCACACGTGTCGCTACAACGCAACAAGTCCAGCACAAAACCACGCTGAAACATTGCCATCGCCTACCATTGTGAAGTACGTGGGCACAGAGACGATCTCGCGGCCGCCCGTCCAAGTGTCAATACTCTAAGTGGTCACATAGCAAGAGCAGCGGCTTCTGTTCCGTCGTACAGCGCGCGCTGATTGATCAAATGAGTGTGTACCTCGTCTGCTATCTATTGTGAGTCTGGAAGTAATTGCTGGTCTTTAGGGATAGGTGTATTCGTTGAACCTATTGACAGAGGTGAGATTCCAGCGTCGTACATATGTTCTCAGTGGGGAGCAAAAATCGTAAATGCCTTCACAGGTAACCCTCGGCTCGGCGTTGAATTGTGAGGGTAATATCCTGCACAGGGCGGGACGGGACGTCACGGCTTATTAGGCCCAAACTCAAGAGAGTGTTAGATAACGTCTGATCTCTAGAGAGATTCAGACTGTACTAAAACGGAAATAATTCTGAATCAAATAGTTTGAATCACGCAGCGCTGGGGACCTACTAACACCCTGTCTCAGATTTATGTCCAAGGTCAAGATGAGATGGGTGTACAGATGGAGGTAATCGGTTTTGTCCATGTTTACGTCAATTGGCACGATGCTTTAATTCGAATAATCCTAACTGGTTCGATCATGGGTCATTGTGTGTAGAATATTTGCAAGGTAATATCTACATGCAATCGGACTCTTTGTTCAGTTTCCTACCAAATCACACACAATGTAACCCCGATATTTCGGAAAACAATCTCCCAGTCGTTTACTGTTGTGTAAGTGTCATTAACGCGGTCGATATGAATTTGTACCGTTGAGATTGACGAGGCTCTACTGTACTCGTCTATTCAATGTACTATACGTTTAATGTTTGAATATTTTCCGAGCACGAAGCTCAGAAAATAATTTAATTAGCCACATCTTGTATTGGAACGGGCAAACTAAAAAGGGCAAATCCCTCGTGCGATTAGTTTATGAATCACTATTAATTAGTGATGGCAGTAGGTTCAAAATAAAGAGTAGAGTATTGTGTAATGCTATTGTGTACTGATAGCATTCACTTCACAATAACCATATTAAAGGAATTTTAACAGTCTCAATCACACAGCATATTACTGTAAGAACATACAAGTACCAAAATAACAAGTTATGGGACTGTTACGTGTTAACTTGTGGCAATGTCCATCTGCAAACCGGCGTTGGTTATTTATTTGACCAGAAATGGCAAACCGGGATGGTGGAATCACAAATGACAGTCTGAGATTATAAACACATTGTGATACTCTCGGAGTATTACATATGATGCAACAATGAATGTCCCAAATGGATGTCGAGAATAACAAAACATATTATTAATATGATGGCTGGGTGATATTCCTGCTTCTTAAACTGATATTTTCAATGGCGCCTTAAACCGGTATTATCATTTTGTTCATGACAAAGAAGATACAGAAGATACATTAAGTGAGTGAGTATGGTTTTACGCCATTTTTAGCAATATTCCAGCAATATCACGGCGGGGGGCACCAGAAATGGGCCTCACACATTGTACCCATGTCGGGAATCGAACCCGGGTCTTCGGCGTGACGAGCGACCGCTTTAACCACCAGGCTACCCGACCGCCCCAAGATGCCTTAAGTGCAATGGACAAAGAACATGTATCTACATGTATGGGGTTCCCAGTGCACTAAACATGGAAGTCAGTGGTGTTTCAGGATGGTAAGGCAATGTCTACACCTGTAGATTAGAGGGAACATCAATGGATTAAGGTACGATCTAATGTCAGATAAATCACATATGAGTCTCGTTTGGTAGAGTTGAAATGAACAACTCAAGGGATAAAGCGATAGAACCATTCGAAACTACTTCGCGTTAACTATTCCTTGATTCGTATTGAGACATTGTATTATATGTGTTGATGTTTGATACCGACACAGTTTGTCTTTACTAACTATCGGTAAGTTGTAGTACTGTTCTAGAATCGCCGGAAACAATAATTAGGATAATTAGTCAATTAATGACCATCTTGACGCCACTGTGTGGATTCGGCGGGCGTGGTGTGAATCAATGATTTGTCTTGGTGCATTATATTTGGTCAGTCAGCACTACGTTCTCGATGGTATTGTAAAGTGGTTAACGTCTATGACTTGCGTGACTTCTGTCTTTCGTCCCTCATTAAGCTGCTACTACGCCGTTGTATCATGTGGCTGCAATATAGTGGCGTAAATCCATATTCTAGATCTCATCCACTCACTCACATCTCCCCACTCACTCGACAGCTTGCCCGGAGAGTGGAAGTCGGGGGTTCGATCCTCGGCCGCGTCATACCAAAGACGTTAAAACATGTTACTTTTTGTTACCCTGCCTAGCGCTTGGCATTAAGGGGCTAAAACAAGGACTGGTCGGCTCGGAGTCTGTATTTTGTGTCTAGGTTAATATTAAACTTGCGGCATGGTATTGCAGTGGGCTAGCACTATGAAATTGGCGTTATTGTGGATTATGGACACACACACACACACACACACACACACACACACACACACACACACACACACACACACTCACTCATTTACTCACTCACACGTGCATGCAGGTCGCCATAAAACTGGATTAATCTTGAACGCGACGATTAATCCCATGTCACCTAACTTCAACCCCCTCACTCACCTATCAACGTATACCATAACACAATAATCCCCATTTACGATCATACTTATCTCTTCAGTATTTATCCATAGTTTTATGTTCAAATGAATTTGTGTTCAAACGTTCTCTTCTGGCCACACACCTATATCGGTGGGACAAGGACAATCGCGATGTGTGTTATTGAATTACTGTGACATCGGGCACATCTTCTGTCGGTGTCCCGCTGGGGTCATGTCGGGGTCAGGTGCTATGGGTTGTAGACTGTTGTTAATTATGACAATAATCTAATAAAGCCTGTCCTTTAGGGAACGACCTCAGGCGGTTTCACGCAAATATATGAAAACCGTATGCACTACATTCTGTTCCGTATTAAATTGTCTCCCTCAGACTGTTTGAATAATATCAATGTCTAATATTATATACACCAGGTTAAACTTAAAGACATTGACGTTCATATTGGCACCGGGGATGACAGTCAGCGAGACAGACAAACAGAATGTTCATTACAGTATGCAGAGTTTTTTATTGTGCTTGTTTACAACGCAATAACATGAATAAATCACGTGTACATTATGTGTGAGTACTCTTTCACCAAAAGATTTCTGATGGAGACATTTTTAACTATGTAAAGGTTAGTTTAACCTATTCAATTGTAAAACTCAGTGCCATTTGGTTAAAACTGCATGCGTGGCAGGATCCTATGGTCTTGGGTTTGAATCCGAGATTCCACCAAATTCCTGAGTTTGTAAGCAATATATACTAAAGCTCGTAGTTTTCACCAATGTGGCAAACGTCGACGGCCTGCATCACTTCGGACTTTCCTACCAAGTAAGGATGGCATGCCTGATCAAGACGACGTTGCACCAACTCACCCACTCACTCGCATATTTACGTGTATCATGATTGCAATTTACTTCATATAGAACTGTTCAAATACTTACATGGCGGAATAAGACGAGTGAGTGAGTGAGTTGGGGTTTACGCCGCTTTTAACAGTATTACGGTTATATCGCGCCGTGTCAGCTTAATGTGGGAGGAAAGCCCGAAGTGATGCAGGTCTCAGACGTTTACCACTTCGGTGAAACCAACGAGCACGGGTATGGTGCTGACAAACCTAGAAACATAATCGGGGCGAACCGGGATTCGAACCCACAATCATAGGTTTCTGGCGTTCCCAAGGGATGCTACTCTGCACAGCACAGCGCATCGCGGCGCCTAAGATGACTGGGCCACCCGTGCCCCCAAATGAAGAAAGTTATTTTTCTTCTTCCAAACACAGTTACTAATAGAGTAAGCCAGTATCTGTCTCGCATTTCCCACTGTGGCTGCCAAAACACATGTACATATATGGCCTTCTCCAAGAAGATATTAAGACTGATATACTGATCAAACGTCAGTGCCATTTGGAACTGAACATTTACAGACTGTTATATATAAGCCTCAGTAGACTGGAATATCTACTTCATTGGAATCATGAACCGTTATGGGCATCTTATATCTTCAAGAAGCTGTATAAACCCAGCTCTTTTAGTAACTGTGATTGAGAGCAGAAAAATACCTTTGTTCGAATTCCGTCATTATGTTTCGAAATAAGTGACCGACATATCAATCAAAGTTTGCAGGTTACAGATTAAGCCAAGTTATAAATCTGTTACAAGCATAAAAATTGAAAACGAAACCGAAGAAAAAACACGTATAGCAAGGTGGTAGAGAGGTCCAAATTCCCATTTCTTGTCTGTCATTTTGGGTCTGTGAGTGAGTGGGTATGTTTTTACGCCGCTTTTAGCAATATTCCAGCATTACACGCCTGGATGTTACCACTTCACACATTGTAGGCATGTGAGGAATCGCCACAAACAAACTCTTTACCCACTAGCCTACCCCACCGCCCCTCTGTCATTTTGAGACGACCCTTAGTGGCGGAGAGGCATTACACTCGTTTTGTCATGTAGTAGTTTGTTTAAAGATAACTACGGTGAAGCAAATTATTTTGGAACATGAATAGTATATGGCTAATGTAAGAAAACAATATTTTGGGTAGCACCTTGGCAAGAAGGTTTAAAATCTTCAAAAAACATCGCTGTTGAAGAAACATGACATTGCCAGATTTTCGACGAACTTTTGTGTCGGCCATCTTGGATTTCAAAATGGCCGCCATTGTCATAAAGATAGTGTAACTATTTTGATATTGTGACACATAGGCATAGTACGTATCAGATGAAAGTTCTTTTTTATTGTACATACTATTCTGTTATATCTCGATTAAGACGAAACTTATAGGATAAGAACTGTTAATAACTGTTTAATATACCTGACAGTCTGTTCTGAATTGCACATGTTGTCATCAGTACTTGTCATTCATTGCATCTACGCTTTGCTGTTTTTGACGCATTGATAATAAGTACATAGTTTTGTTTGTTAAATTACACAAACAAGTAATATTTT